TGGAATCGCTAGAGAAATTGGCCCATTTCAAGTCAAAACAAGGCTCCCTCTCCTAGTCCAGCCCCAGGACCGGGCATTCTGGTAGGCGTGGCACGTGTTAGGAACACAGGGTTGGGAACATTTCCGAGCTTTGATTCAATCCCTCTGTGTCGGGTTCTGTGCTCGCACGTGGTAGGTACAAGAGGTTTGCAGAGTAATGAGACCCAGGTTCTGAGTTTTGGGGGTTGATAAAAACATGTCCACGCCCGCAAAGTCCCTCCTCACACACCTGCTGAAATGCCTGCCAGGTGTGAGGTGCTGGGAGGCGGAGCTGGGAGGATGGCCCTGGGTCTGAGGTCAGAGGCGGAGGCAGTAAGAGTTATGAGACGATGGGGGCAGGTTTCATGGGCCTCGCTGGCCCCTGTGGCCTCGGGGTCTACCTCAGTGAGTGCCCGGCCGCTGCTTCTGGACCAGAGCCTCCTGTGGGCTTCGGAAAGCTCCTCTAAATGGGAAGTGCCAGGCGCCGTGCAGCCCGTACGTCGCTGCCAAAGGCCTTGGGCTGAACCCCGAAGTCCCCACCAGCGGATGACCACCCTCAGGACCTCCCAGGGAGATGTGGGGGGGGGGGGCTATCTGCTACTGGTTCCTGGACCTGGAGAACCCCGGTCAGTTCCTGTTGAGAGGGGCAGTGATCTCCCTCTAGACCCCGTCTCTGCCCGTGTCTGGGGGGACAGCGGCCCGGGACACAGGGCCGCCTGGCATTGCTTGGTCTTTGTCTCACCGTCTCTCCCAGGTCCCTGATGAAATGACTTGTACGACAATCTGTCTGTGCCTTATGAGAGTGTCTGTGCACTTTTTATCCTTTTCTAAAGCAACTCTCCCCAGTGGGCAGGGGCTGGCAGACGTCACCGTGTCCCGGACACCGTACGGTCACTGCGGTTCCGCGTTGTGTTTCGGGGTGAAGTGAGGTGCCCGCCCGCCCCGCCCCCACTACCTGTGTACAGACCTTTACAAACCGTCTCTTGCTCTCATTTTCCTGATTCAATACTGTGACCTCTCCAATGCAGTCTCATCTTTGGGGAACTGTAAGAAAGGTTGTAAAACTTGGGGCGAGTGGGTGGGAAGGGTTTGCACTGTCCTGTGTGTTGTGCTTTTGTGTGTGGTGTGTTTTGATTTTTTTGTCTGTTTTTATCTGTTTTATATTAACATAAGTTTTCTGTTTAAAAAAAAACCACACAAAACAAAAAACAAATACAACTCTGGCTTGTTAAAAAAGAAAGCTCTCCAGACTCAGTGTGTAAATCCCAGGGGTGTGCACCTCTGGGAAGTGGAGGTGCGGGCACGAATCATTGCCCGCCTTGAGGAAACAACTCGCAAAATGTCTCTAGGCCCCTGACGATGGTTGGTCCTTTGACCAA